TTCATGTGTAGCTGAGTAACTCATTTCGTAAATAAATGTTTAACCTCTCATAGAACCCGAAGGGGCATTACTGTGCTCACAGGAGGCCTCTGCTTGACATCATAAGCCACTTGAATCCACTCCACTAATTCCATGGAGCAGAGTGGCAGTTGGTCAGCTGGTAAATAATTCCTCGCCTTTTGTGGAACCGGAAGAGCACTTGTCATATGCACAAATGGCTGCCACTAAAGAAATGTTGACTACGAAGCAGATTTGCATGACGCTGGTAACCAGCAGTAAGCAGCTGGTAATTAAATTTAAAAAAAACATTGTAATGTAACTCAATTGTGTCTGTACAATGACGCAGAAGCAAAGAAGTGAACCTGACGATGGCTGAAACATGCTGTTCAAGTGAACAGTGAACAGAATGTGTGGAACGTGATTTGCAGAAAACCAATAAATCATCAGATCCTGGTGTTGGCAGCGCTGTTGGTGGCGTTTCTCCTCGCCGTGGCAATTGTTTTTTTTTATACCATCGTGTTTGCTGCAATATCAAGTAAATTACCTTGCAAAGGTCATCGTATGCTATATTTACTACAGCATCGGCTGTATAGGTTGGCCTTGCCGCTGATGTGTTTTTCATTTTATTGACCCAGTTATTTAACCAAGTGGTCCACAAGTTTTATTTTTCTGATTCCATCAGAAACAGCTACGAAACGTGAATGTGTCCTGTTGGCCCTGGGTCTGTTCGATTAATCGTTGATATACAAGGCACTGGTCATCCTTCGCACCTTGTAATTTTCCAAGGCTGTCACCAAACCATTTATTTTCCTTATGTCCTCGTTGGCTCATATTGCTTTAGAACGTGGTGAAAGACGCACAGGGTGATCTGTTCAGTCCAACAGGTACGTGGAACTTACACTTTACCCGAATATAACAATAATGAACACAAGTGAGAGTAAAGTCAGCGCTTGCTTTGTACGACTCTGAAAGGCAGTCTCATACTCTGACTAAAAAACATTGATTACAAGTGTCTGAAAATAAAGTCTCAGTAAAATGTTTGTACCTAATAAGTATGACGCACGTGAATCATACGTGTTATGTATTATTATTAGAATTAAATTACTAACGGTGCAAGGGACTGGATTTGATTGTTGGAAACTGGAAGTAGGAAGTGAGAATACCTTGCTGATATTGTCCACTGGTAGGAACTATAAAGAAAATAAGATCTTAATGTTAAAATTTATTCTACTGTGGTTAAGAATTCAGGAAATGGAAATATGTGTGAGAATTTAATTACACACCTACATATATTTTACACAGAGTTCTATCTGATCATGGATAGGCTGTGTGAAGGGATTCGGCAATACATCTTCGGGTTCCACAGAAGGCGAGGAACATATTCACTGAGTGTCTATCAGATTTTTTAAAAGCACTCTACACCGTCGAGTTCATTAACAATATAAGGTGATGATAGGCTGCTGATTGCGAATTTCATTAACATAGTTGACACGGTTAACGTAAACGATCCGCTCCTATTCGAGACTGTCTGCATCCTTTCTCTGTGAACTACTAAACGATTTTTTAATTATAAATTTTCAACTGATGCTCTTCGTTAAAAGTTGTTTACCTCCATTAATTAAGGTTAGCATCAGTCCAATATAATTTCCACTTATTTGAAGCTCTTACAGCGTAATATATATAGAATAAAAAACTGCTTATTGTACAAAACATTGGTGCATGATTTAGTTATATAGATCTCATTAGGATCCACAACTTTTATTTATTTATTTATTTTGAAACTGTTAATATTTCATGAAGTACGAAGTCATGTCTATAGGTAGGTATTTCGTATCGCATTATGTACTGTGTGTTTTGTTGTACATGCAGTGAAATAAACTTTGCTACAATCAGTTTGTATCTGCAATATAGGAACATCAAAGTCAACGAAGAACGTAAAATCACAACTTGAAAAGCAGGTGAACTCATGGACAACTTTCCACTTTTGCGTCCAACTTGTTCTTCGCCCTCGACTTGTCCACATTATTTAGCAGGATCGCCATCTCTGTTGTTCGGTTTCTTGCGGTGTTCCGTCTTACCATTTCCGCATTGAGTTGTTAATCAGTAGGTATCGTCTGTCATAAACACTCAGTTTTATAGCACGTAGTAACTTACAAATAAACATATTCTGCTCTCTCTTTTAACCTAACCTATATCGCCCACTGAAGACCGCGTGCTTGCACGTACGATTCTTTGAAGGCCAAATAGTGCATTTTGCATTTTCACATTTTCTTCTTGCTACCTCTTATTCTTTCTCTCTGCTTTCATCTTTTTTTTCTTTATTTCCTTCGATCTTCCTTTCTCGGTTCTTTTTCCGATCGATCAGTTTCCTTTCGATATTCGTCTAGTTGGTTGTTGACACCATGTGGACTTACAAGCAGAGTTAATTCATTTTAGTTTAATCTCGATGTAAACACGTAGGATAAGTAAGCTTCCGCACTTCCCATTTCTGAAGACGCCATCTCATTCATTGGTAGCTGTCATGCACATAATAATTACTGTAGCACGCGTCTATAAGAACGAGTTCCTCAGTATCAGTAATGTTTAGAACATTGAACCATTGGTTCTTACGTTAAGTACACAGTGCAAGTTTTGTTGCACAAAATTGTTTTGAACGTCTGATATGATACCACTGTAATCACATCATAAATACTTTACTTTGGCGTGGCTTGGCAGTACAGTTACCCGAAAGAAACAGGTGCACGATTTATGTCCTATCAGACGTTCAGAGCAGTTTTGTGCAGTGAATACTTGCACTTTTTAACTACTTAATACAACAACCAGTAGCAGAATTTGAGGTTATCACGGCGGTGAATACGAAGATGGCTGTCTTCTGGGTTACAGCGCCATGTTGTCTAGTACAAGTTTACCAACGTTTCAGAGGTCCTTGCTACATCCGTCATCCGGGATATGATCATTTGTCATTCTATCAGACTAAACGTTTAATTTAAACGATTTATGGGCATTTTGAGAGAATGCCTGGAGAGGATGAGAGCTGTAGAAACCTTAACCTTGCTTGGAATTATAAAGCATTAAGACTGGGCAACAGCAGGCTTAAGAGATTATGAAATCAAATGAAATATTTATATCGCGAGGAAGTGATGCACGAAGGTTGTGGTCCCCTGATCATGACGGTATGAACATGTTTATATACGAGAGTGTGCAAAGGCATCGGAGGCCACACACAGGTGTAACATCACAATGTCATTACACGTGTTCTGTTTTCTAACAGCTCAGGGATGTCAAATTTTGGAAAACAAAGACGATTCGGACTGCGTTCCGATGGAAATATTTTAACGAATTCTTTACATGTTCTGTATGTCGTCCATGTTGCAAGCATTAGTTACTTGTCAGGAGACTCGGTATGAAGGTGGTGTCAGGGGGGTTATTTTAAAATTCCGGTGACCACGCAATGTAAGGCACACACAGATCAAAGGTTTGTGTCGTGGATTTGAATCCCGCCCATAGCGTGTCTCTTTTATCACTGCCATTCTTCATATTCTCCCCCAAATTTCAGGTTCTTTCGTGGGCAATACATGGCTTAAGAACCTGGTAAACAAACCTTGTGGTTCAATGTTTCCTGTCGCATCTTCTTCGGAAAAATGAGTGCTAGGATATGATTTTCTAAGGACTGAGAAATATGGCAGGTTCCGGGGAGACGGTTTGAAAAAAAAACCCTGAAAAATTACTAAAGAACCTTAGTTTTAAATTATCGCCTTGTTCACCTTCAAATGTCAAAAAATAACGTTTAAAAGCAGATTACTGTTTTTATATATTATTAAAAGACATCAGTAATTTGTTCAACATATAACAGTGTTTCGCAAATTCCTTGATCGCCTTGTAGAACACTAAACCAGAATTAATTTTCGGTCATTTGTTCTTTCGGTGTAGAATCAACCAACATAAAATTGTTAACTAATAAGCATCCTTGGTTTCAACAGTACTGAACAAGAGTGGAAAAGGACATGTGTCCTTTGTAATGCTGCATACTTCACTGACAATGATTTTAATTTACTAAACGTACTAGTCTTTTGTAAAGGTGATAGCATTTCTTGCAGTCTGAAAACATGTTTTTTATTATTTAGTTAAATAGTCGTAGCAGTCCGAAAACAGGTTTTTTATTATTTAGTTAAATAGTCGTTACATAAAAATATTTTTAGTATATGTTCCTAATGTTGCTTATGTCTGGCCAATAATTCCATGCGGAAGAGATCTCCAGAAGTCTACGCGGCGTATAGCGAAACAGCTCTACTTACTTTCATCATACAGAAAAAGACATGGTCTGGTGTGTGTGTGTTTTTTATTTATTTATTTATTACTCGGATAGAGTCTGGCCCACTGCAGGTCATAGTTACTTTCGCTTTTGCTTCACGTCTAGGACGATGTTCAACGACCTTTGGCCCCTGTGGAGCTACTGCGTGGTCCTGCTATTAGGGATCGCGTGTTACTTTCTGTCCGGTTGGTTCCGGATTATTCGCTTCGTCCTGCAACTGTCAGGACCTCCCGCTGTGCCCCTGCTGGGAAATGCTCCCCTCATCACTAACCAACAAAGTGAGTTTTACTGATCCCTCTTCTTATACAGGACGATCAAAAGTCACACAAACCATATTAAAATATTTATTGAGTTTTACAATTCAATACAATTCGACCGTCATGTTGAAACCTGCTAGCGCCTCCTGTCCGTCGGTCTTCAAACAGGTTCAAGGATCGTTTTCACAAATGCAACAAGTATTCATCGTCGAACACTAACTTCTATGTCGTGTCTTACGTAGTTTGCCACAATGGGTTCAGGGATACATTCCCGATTCTCCTGTGCCAAGCAAATAAACAATAAATATCTTGTCACATGACCCTTTCCGTGACATAGGAACTCTACACCGGGTAGCATCAAACATTAAAAAAGAGTGAATGAACGCCTTGACCATTTCCAGCAGTTTATATACGATTTTTTCTTTCTAATTTCAGTGTAATTTTTGATCATTTTTTTACAAACAGAACATTTCAGTAGTAGGTTGCCTGACTTATCGGCCATTCTGTAATTAAACATAAAATGCATAAAACTTATTTCATCACGTGTGCCTATGTTTCACAGGACTCTTAGAACTAGGTAAGACAGCTTACAAGGAATATGGCCCGGTGTTTCGTGCGTGGGTTACAGTGATACCAACTGTTGTCATACTGGCACCAGAACATGTACAGGTAGGTACCAGCACCATTTTAAAATACAGTGAGTACCAAAAATGTATGCTGCCACATTCAGCCGTTGATAGCGTAGTACCACCATCCTGAACTATCAGCCTCAAGTTAACGTTTCATCATTCTGTATTTTATTCTGTAAATAACATTGGCTGTGAAACTTATGCATAGTGTTGCATAATTGCTCAGCTAATCATTAAAATCCCTGCCTGTTATGGAAGTGGGATATTTGTTACTAACCACCCAGTTGATGGAGGCAAAACGTCTGAAACGTTTCAGTAAATTTCTGCCAGACCACACGGCGCTTCAGCCTAGACGACAGTCATTGTAGTTTATTATAGAGTTCACAAAACACTTCTCATCATTTAACACTACGCTGAGACATTTTCGTTCAGTACCAGTACCTGTATATCGTGTTTGTCCAAGACTCATTTTAATGTAATCTATTAACAGCTCAAATAGTCTCATTCCTTTAGATAGTCCCACCAAGAAAAAATATAGTGGGTTAACATTGTTGTTAAATATATTAATTTTGTTTTTTGTGAGTGTGTTCCCAGGTGGAAGAGTTTGGTGTTCCTCCTGTCAAGTCTAGTAGGTCCATAACTCATAAGTTTGCTTTGTGGTTGCACTGTCTCGAAAACACCGTTAACACTGATACTGAAAAAGACTGTTATTTAAGCTGAAGACACTCAGCTGTTCTTTTTGCATTCATACAGCAGGCAATAGTAGACAAAGAAGAAATTTTAACATTAATCCATTAATATAATATTTAGGTCACTTCAAGTATCCATATATATTTAATTAAAAGATTTAAAGATAATTTAAATGCCTGGATATTACAATATAACAAAACAGATTTATTGCATCTTTCTACCAAATGATCTTAAGTCCCTGGATATTACAATATAACAAAACTGATTTATTGCATCTTTCTACCAAATGATCTGTTTTGACTTTCGCTTGGTGATGTTTTACAGTTGTCACAGCAGTTAATGTGCTTTGGCATACAGCCATCAAGTTTAACACTTCTTTATTATAAAGAATATATATGAACTTTTGCAGGTCATCTTAAGCAGTTGTAAATACACAGAAAAGATCTGTTTCTATAAACTGCTACACAGCTTTCTTGGACAGGGGCTGGTCACAAGCAGTGGTGAGTTTAGAAGGAAATATAATGGTATCAAATTGTGGATCAGTTTGGTAACCTGCATCTATTCATAAAGAGACCACTATCAAAACATTCACCTTATTGAATAATGTATCAAACAAAAGTTACATGTCTGTATTGCTATGATTTTTGTCAATGTTCTGCACACTGAGCCATATTGGAAAAAGAAATTATAATATTTGATTCTAGCTTCATGTAAAGTAAGGATTATTAAATTTGTTACACATAATTGTAGCCTCCCCCCAACATAAAAAGAGAAAATTTAATCTTCTTATTTCCTTTTTTTAACTTATTTTCTGTCTTAGTATTTTTTCTTTCCAATCTCTTATTTTCTTCTTATTCTGTTTTTTCTGACTATTTATTTTAATTCGATATTTTCTGTCTTTCTCATCTCCACCTCTTATGTCCTTATCTTTTTAATTCCTATCCTTTTCTTTCTTTGCTTCTTCATCACCAGCATTTTATTATTTTTCTTCCATTCCATCTCTGTGTTCTTTCAATTCTTTTCCTTATTTTTGTTTATGTATTCTTTCCTGCTTTCTGTTTTCCCCTTACTTCTTCTTACCTTTATTCTCTCTGTTCATTTGTCTCTCATTCATGGATGCCTTATTGTTCCTATCTTCATCATATCTTTCTCTCTCAGTGTTTTTTATTTGTTTTTCAATTACTTATGTCCTTTCTTCTTTCATTCCATCTATCTTGGTTTCATTCTCTCTTCCTTAACATATTTCTTCTGACCATTTCTCCGTGTGAATTTATTTTTCATGCATGTAAACCATATTAATTTTTTATCTTGCAGGAGAACAGTGGAGACATCACAGACGTCTGATACAGCCGAGCTTCCATCTCAGTATTTTGGAGGGCTTCATAGAGACATTCTATGACAGTGCCCAACTCCTGGTGGCAAAACTGAGCACTGAAGCAGACCTAAGTTCTATTAATATCACAGCTCCTATTAATCAGTGCGTGCTGAACATTCTACATGGTGAGGAGCCAACATATGTACTACCAGTCTTAAAATAGTTATCATATTAACTAGTGAAAACACAAATGCCAAAATCTGAAATTAAGTTTTAGATATGTCTGATAGAAAGTTAAAAGGGACAGACTTCTTTACTTCCACATGGTCAGCCAGTCATACATGTAGTCTTGGTTCTGATAATATTGTCTACTTTCTGTACTCCTCAGACGTTATGGTGAGCACTGTAGATAAATGAAGACTGAGTACATGGTACAGTTGTTCAGTACGAAGGTTGCTAGATGGTCTGCTGTCAGTACTGGAGCATAACATTTTCTGATATGAAGATGGCTGTCTTCTGGGTTGCTGCACTCTGTAGTCTGGTAGAAGTTTACTGACGTCAGTAAACTTCTTCCAGACTACATTGTGCAACAACCCAGAAGACAGCCATCCTCAGAAATATTTGGTCCAACATGAAAATATTGGGTCATACGTCATGTTAGAAGGTCGTATTGGTGACGTTCAGCACAGACGTACAATCTTTCTGATATGTTAACCAAGTCCTGTGGCATTGGATGGGGGGACGGGCGAATATTTTTACACTTGAATATAAAAACTTGGTAGAAACAATCAGTGACTACTGAGCTTGCCTTTTGTTATTACACCTTGTACTTCAGTTCCACATGATGATTTTTCTATTTTGGAATCATGGAAGTTCACATTGTTTCCAGGGTCCTGAAATTCATTTCTGTACCAAGAATCAGAAAAACATCATAACCTATTCTTCGATTGTTCCACCAGGTTTTGCAAGAAAAGGGGTTGGTATGATTTTCTTCTTAAAAGCAAAATCTATGTAAGAAAATTACTGTTTTAATAAATCCTCTATCACACAGTCACAGAATTCATATTCCATGATGCACAATCACAAGTCACAACATAGCACATGCATGCAAACAAAATTATGCAATTAAAGTAATGAGAAATGTGATGCAGTGTGCTACAGCAAAAGCCAGCATGCAAGCAGGTAGTCAAGGTTTGGCTAACATCTGAGCTAGGAAGGTCATGCAGCCTCTCTGCCCCGTAACACTACATTGTATCGTATCTTTTGTAAATGTATCTGCATGAACAGCAGACCCACGTTAAGCCAGGACTAGGTAGGTAACATTGACGCTGACTGGAGCTGATTAAGATGCAAATTATCTCATCAGTTTCCTGTGATGGAGTGCATGGAATACCACTAAATCACAAAAGTAAGACTTTATTTTGTTCTTTCCAAAGTGTTAACTGGGCTGAAATGGCTAACATAAACACTCCACCTGTATTTACTGTTCATAGTTTTGGTTATAATGGCATTCTTTCTGTATCTGTATTTCCTAGATCAGGGGCTCTTAACTCATGGGTCACAACCCAAAACTGAGTCTCTATGCTGTTTTGGCTGTGATCCTCTTTACTAAGTTGAAATTCACTATACAAGTATGTGATGTGATGGGTACATGGAGGTGTGTTGTGTGACACCAAGTTTATGTCAGTGTTGAGTGAGGCTAGTTTTTTAACTCTTAGTATCACAAAAACTAAACTTTCAAACTGACTGCAACCAACAGCATGCAGCCTTTCAGGTACATGGCCACAGTCTGAATAACTTAAACTTAATTAGGTATAGATTGAAAGATAATATTAAAATTGGATCTTATAGAAACAGATTATGAAGATGAAAATACCAGTTATTAATAGTCAGTAAGTTAGGAGTTTAAACATTGTTGATGTGACCCCTCCACCCTATGGCACCTGCATCTTTCCCCAGATGCAAGTCAAATTCTGTGAGAATAATTCAAAATATGTGTCACGTTTACAGAGGCTGTTTTGGGGATACCTATGGCTACCAAGACTACCGATATTTTAGATTCACCATTTCGACAGTAAGTGCACTAATTAGATTCTGTTGAAAGAAATGTGTGGAGTTCTACTTCCATGCATTCAACACTTGCCAACTTTGCTTTTACCTTGAATACATGTCTTGAAGGGTATTATATATTATAAATGGAATTGGGATGTTTCAGAGGGAAGGTGGTGGCACCATATCGCTTACTTCACCCATGGCTGTTGCTGGATTTAATTTACAGACTGACAGATGTTGCAAAGCATGAGTTACAGCAGCAGAAAAATATCAATGACTTCACCAGAAAGGTAGCTGTTAACTCTGTGTATTCCATGGAAGCAGGTGATGTAGATCAGTTGGTGACATAGTATACATCCTGTCATATTTAAAAAGTTCCTAGATTCTGTTTCCAACATACTTCCTGTATTCATGTGCCAATAGGAATTTCAAACACAGAGTTTATACTTTTGTCATAGATGGAAGAGGGTGTGCATTGATAATAACTTAAAAACAAATAAGTTTTATGATTAATATGTTACTTTTAATATCAGCTACCTTGCTATTTTGATTTACAAACAATACCTTCCTAAGCTAATGATAAACTAAAATTCACATTGAGATTTGACGTACTCACAGTGGTGAGTGTACATGATTGTCTTCTGGGTTCTTGTACTATGCAGTATCATATAAGTTTATTGGTGATGAGTAAGACACTTTAAATAAACTTGAAATGTAGTTTACTCTAGTAGAGTCCTTTTAGGTTTGCTTTTCAACCAACTTGAATTCAAAAAACTTGACTAGTGTGAAGGACACTTTATATTTGTATCTTGTGTTGCAGATATTAAATGAAAGGTGCAGAGGAAAGCAAGCCCAAGATCCCCTACCTGGCTGCATGGGTGAGTTTATATTATTTTCTGGAAGTAACCACAGGGAGCTGTTTCACTTTATTTTAAATAAAGATGTAGCAGCTTCATACATATATATATATAGTTGTCACTGTTCTATAAAAGTTAACACATTTTGTACCAGTTTTCTTCCCAAGGTTACTGCAACGGAAATCACATTAATTGTAAATAGAAGCAATACTATTTCCTTGTCTATTGGAAGAATTTTTTTTATTTATTTAGAAGTCAACTTCCTCTCCAATCCTTTTAAAGTTTACAATCCAGAAATGTTTCCTTCCAGCACTAAGGCCAAAAATGTACCTTCGTAATCCCTTATATTTACTGCCTGTGTCATGGTATTCATGGAAAAATTGCTGCTCCATTGTGGGGCTACAAATCAGCCTCAAAGAAACTGAAACAACTATTGCATTAGCAAGTCTTCCATACCATTTACCTGGATATGAAAACTGGCATCTGGGCTGATAATCAAACTTGGCATCACAAAATACAAAGCACTCAATGACAAAAGACCTTTCATCACAGACTCAGCTATTTAGCTACCATGAATCAATTGCAGAGGTCCCATAGCATGGGACACATTGAAATGATAATTTAGCCATTGAGATGATAATCTGGTGCTGTGCACTTTTGCAGGAAAACCAGGCAAGAAGTCATTTTTGGACCTGATGATTCAGGTGACCAAAGAGCATGAATCATTCTCTGAAGAAGATGCAATTCATGAGCTCTGTACATTCATGCTGGCGGTATGTGGAAATCTCACTGTTGTACAGTTCTGACTTTCTTGCTTTCTCTTTCTCACTGAGGGTTGCTGTCGTTTTCATATCATCATCATCATAATTGTTACCATCACCCAGTCATAGTCACCACTGAGACTATACTACCCAGCCATCATAATCTCTGCTGCTGCTGACATTGTTATTATTTTACCCGTTATTTTATCTAGGTGTGAAATATGGTATCTCACTTTAAGCAGAGAACACAGATTAAGAACGGCCATGATGAGAAAAATATTAGTACCTGACAAAGAGGTAATAGCAGGGAGAAAATTTCATAATGAGCACTGTAATTTGTACTCTTTGGCAGGTATTATTAGAGTGATCAAATCAAGAAGGTTGAGATGGGCAGGGCATGTAACACACTTTGATTTGATTTATCTGGTGCAGGATAGGGCAGAGTGACTTGCTGTTGTGAACAGCACAAGTAATTTAACCAATATATATATGATGCTCACATGAAATCTGTTTAATGCATGTAACATGTGTTAGCAAACAAAATGTATTTCAGAAATATGTACCCTATGGGCAAGGTTTGTCTCAGGTACATAGAAGTAAATACCTTGTAAAATGTAAGATTGGATCATCAGGTAAATTAATAATATAAATCACATATTTGTACAGCACTGACATTTTAATACCAGTTATATATTATGTATTAAAAATATTAGTAACCATTTCATTTTTATTTTAGAATCTGCAGTGACTATTATTTAGTATTTATTATTGTAGTTTTAAGAACATTATATTTTCAAAAGTAATTCTGAATTGTAACAGGTCACAATGCGTAATTCGTTGAAAGTGAAGGAGATGAAGAGGAATACTATATGTAAATAAAGCATTGTATTCCTTAAAAGGCAAGGAATATTCAACTAAGTAATTATCAGCTTCTGAAAATGCACTCTGCTTCATGAATTTACTTATAATTCTTGTTGTTGTTATTGCTGTTGTTGTTCTTGAGCTGAATTTGTTCATGTGCACAGGGTCAGGATTCAGTGGGGTCTGCCTTGGCATTTAGCCTGTTTGAACTGGCAAGACACCCACATGTGCAAGAACTCGCTGTACAAGAGCTATATGATGTGTTTGGAGATGACCAGCGGGTACCTAGCCTTAGTGACCTCGGACGACTCACATACTTGGATCAGTGCATCAAGGAGACCCTGAGGATGTACCCCAGTGTGCCTCTGATATTTAGGACACTCACACAGGATGCCAAGCTAGGTACTGCAAGAGTTAATGGTCAGTCAGCTGATGAAGAAATTTTCACAGGTGTGCCACCACAAAGTTGCAGTTACGCCATGAATTTTTATAAGAAATTATAGATTTACACATTATACTTAGAAAAGGCAATAACTTATCTTTTGTAGTCAGAATTTGTAATATATGTGAACATATTTGTAATGTGTGGACACACACGAGTGGTTCTTCATCAGTAGTTTTACTCAACACGTGCTATGTTTTGTTTTCATATGTTGCACTCTTATAAGATTAGGATTTACATGCAGATACATATTTGTGGTCACATATAATTTTGTATCCTGTTTTTGAGAGGTGATACTTTGTGGTGTGCCATCATGCATCTTTGACAAATTAGGGTATGTTGTGGCTGAAAAAAGTTTGTGGTACACTGATTTATAATATACTCTTAGGGTAAGAGACCAAGATCCACATCCATGCAAAACTGCATGTAAAGTTGTGTTTTTATACATTTTAATATTTATGTTTCTAGGTTGGGGAGACAAAATATTTTGAACTACATATCAAGCAGTCCCTGAATCTAATGTGAATTAGTTACTAGTGAATGTAACTTTTATTTGCTACTAAAATTTGAAGTTCTTTAACTTATCACATTATCAAAGGTTTTATTAGTGTCTGATAGCATTTCACACCCACAGTAGTCTGAGCTACTCCTTGGCAAAGAGATAGTGCATTCTGATTAAGGGATTTTTCTTCCTCAGTCCTTTCAGGCATAGGTTGGAATTTTACAATAAAATATGCCAAGACTGTTTTCTCTCACGTATTTTCTATTTAATTTTGGCATCAAATCAGGGCAGTGGGATAATGTGTTGTTTCAGGCCAGTACACTGTCCCAGCAGGCTGTGGGATACTGATCTCCCCGTTCGCCACACATCATCTGCCTGGAATCTACCCAGAACCTGAGAAGTTTGATCCAGACAGATTTTTGCCTGACAAGGTAGAGAGCCGGCATCCATATGCATTTATCCCCTTCAGCGCAGGGCCCAGAAACTGCATAGGTGAGAGCACAATCAGAAATTGGTGTTGTATAAAATATATTCTGATTTAAATCTAAAGAACCTTCTTCTCTCAGACAAGCCTATTTCTGTTGACAAAAAGCCAGGGATATTTAGACATATTTCTGTCATGGACAAGTTGTTCAAAAATCTAAGTGTGGTATATGCCCTGCATAGCATAAAAAGGCATAAGCAGAGTAAGGAGCAAGTTGAAAATATGGAAACTGACATACAGGTTACAGGTTTGCATTGATGGAAATGAAGACTATCATCTCTACTATTCTAAGAAGGTACCGACTGTCCACTGTGGTAGGACATGAGAACCTGAGGCTGATGTACCGCATCACGATACGTGCTAGTGGTGGCATCTGGCTGTGCCTCACCCCAAGGGTGCAATCCTCCTATCACTAAACTAACAAAGCCAGTGAGTAAGGTCTTGTTAGTCCTGTTGTTATCTAATATGGAAGAGGCTGGTTTTCTGTTGCATGTACAGTTGGCCTCCCTTTCAGAATGGTCTGTTTTACAGTGGTCATAATTTATGGTGGTCCTGTTTATGAATATCCACATTTATAATGTGTATAATATCCATCAATGGATAGATTTGCAGTGCAACTTCCAACATGATGGCTGCCGAATAACTTAGCATACTCCTAGTTTTGTATGTTGCTTGGTATAGAGCTTTTGCTATTAAGTGTCTTTTTATTTTCATATGTTAAACAGTCTTAAATGTGTATTAAAACATATTGCTGAGTGATTTTTCAAATGTGAAATGTAAATAGAAAGTGAGTTTGGAAATTAAATGAAAGGCAACTAAATTTGTTATTTACAAACATTGCCCAAAATCTCAGAATTAGATCCAGTGACCTCTTATGACCCCATTAAGATATCCTTTTATCATTCCATGCTTTTTATGTAACTTTCATTCCCTTGTAATGTAAAATTATCTTCGGTCTATGATTTTGTTCCGTTTTGAACCTGATTTATTTCTAAATCCTGAAATCCTTTGGTTAATATTATAATTTATAGTTTTACTATAATTTGTAGGGTAGTTCTGTTAGGGCACTGTATAGTCCGCTCATGTTCCCTTTTATAAAGTGACAAGGCCTTGAAGATTGAGCCATGCTAACCTTCATGTTGATGCTGTAAGAGAAGTTAGCAACCATGTTAATGGACCTGCCACTTAGTGGTAGCAATCAGTTTTCAGGAACTTCTTATTACTTTAAAAATCTATCAGTATGTAACTTTCTCTTACTGTGTTGATGATTACTTAGGATGTCATGGGCCTGATGAGAAATTATAGAGTGATTATGAATGTTGATTTTTAAGGGCCGGCCGCAGTGGCCACGCGGTCTGAGGCATGGACGTCGTGCACCTGGCCGCTGGGACCGTGGGTTTGACTCCCACTCAAGGCATGGATGTTTGTCTGCGTCTTTCTGTGTTTGTATAGGTAGAGGCCTTGCGTCGGGCTGATCACTCATTCGAGGAGTCGTACCATTGTCCAAATAGATCAAAAATGAATAAATAAAAACCTTGACACCTACGGGTAAAAGAGGATGAGAGAAAGAAAGAAAGATTTTTAAGGAATGCAGGGGGAAGGAATATGGAATAGGATGTTAACAGGCTACAGCCTGTTTAAGACACTCTCCCAGAAAATTCTATGCAAGTAAGTGAAAGTAAGCTTGTCCCTATGCCTCAGCTTCACTCTGAGAGTAGAAATATGGCTCCACATTCTTTATATAGGCATTAATTGGAGTGTCAGGCTCAAACTGCCACCATTGCATACTGGGTAAGTAGCATCTGGTTCCCACTGGGTAGCCTTCTGAGCTAATCTGAATGTTGTAAAATGAAAAGCTTTGCTCATATCAGGATTTGAATCTGTCTTCTTGACTGTAATAATCACATTTCTGACAGGTACCCCCCCCCCCCCCCACCCCCCCCCAAAGTATAGAGAAAATATGTCTCCTGCCTGGAATGTGCACCTTGAACCTTCCAAATATATTAACCATTATATAATTTACGTTTTGGGGGGATAGGCAGCGACAAATGCTGAAAGCCATCGTTTCACCAAACATTTCAGTTGTCATCTTCTGGGTGCGTCTGCCGGAACTCTGGATATTTGTCAGCATCGACACGACCTACACCTGAAAAACCGAAGGGAAAGCCAGCCGTGAAAACATAATGACAAGGCATTTACCATTACTCTGCAATGTTTTTGTTTTTCAAGTTCTAAAGGACTTTTCTTTCAGAGCCTCATTAACGTGGTAGATGCATACGTCCTAACTTTCCCGTTTCAAACTCCAAGGACACTATAGGTATACGGCAACTTGCTTTCGCTTCAAAAATGTTAATCTTCTCGGTTGTAGTGCCATGTAATCTGGTAGAATTGTACCAACGTTACAGAGGTCCAGTAACTGTTATGTTTGTAAGCTCGCAAATTTACCTCCCTGAAAACCTAAAAATACTGCTTTTAGCTTATCCCGACAGAGCCAACGAAACCTGTCTTCTCACTCGGATAGCAATGGAAAGATGGTCAAATGATGGCATTACGAAGCTGAGTTAATCTATGGTACACGGAGTGTCATGACAGCACCCAGACTATTCGTGTTACAGGCTGCCATTTTTAAAAGGCAACTTTGATAAGGATGATGGGTAAAGTATATAGTAAATCAACATGTCGGTTGTTCTGTGTGTGTAACTGTTCCAGGGATAAATTTTATTGATTTATTAATCTGGGGGTTTTCAATGCAGTGGTTGTGCTATACGTGTAAAACATTGCATTTACTGCCAATATTATGGGAGTATACATATACAGATATTTTAATCGTCAAAATTATAGTGTGAACTTTAATTAAAGGTAATGTTCAAAAATATAATCTAAAGGATAATAGTTCCCATTCTGATGGAATGTGTTAAAACTGAATCGTTAACGTTGCCTACAGAGTTCCTTTGTATGTATCTAAAACAATGTAGTATATAATTTTCGTACTGATGTATATTTATTGATAAGACAGTTTGTAGTTAAATGTTATCCCAATGACATTTGTATATAGATGTTATTTATTCTCTTTCGATTTAAAATTTTGAAGTAAGGAACATGGATATTAAATATATAACATGGTTAATGCTGGTGTAGTAATGTCACCAACTCAGCTGTGACTCCCATTTCACCAAACGTGGAAACAAATGTTCCATTATGGGTGTATAAGCTACGTTATTTTCCTGTTAAATAACAGCCATGGATATACCATGGTACATCATAGACACAAAGAATAAAATGATTATGGGTGGATTCGCGTTTCTTTTTTAATAGCAGTATTCATTATATTTCCAATGTACTTTTGTGGAGTATATTGGGACTTCTTTTTAATTTTCTTACAGTTCACATTTGTAATGTGACATGCCATGAAGAGCATATAAGAGTTAAGTGAATAGATGGAGTCTCTACCAACAAGTTCTGCTTGGTCAGAAGCATTTCCTTCCAGTGATGACAGTGGGTTGCTAATGACCAGTGACTCCATCTCCAGTGAGAGTTGTGCCTGCCATTGCACTATGGAGGTATGATATTTCAGTTTATTTTATTGCGTTGATTCTGAGGTTGAACTTGAATGTTCTGTACCATGCAGGGCTGTGGAGTCGGTACACAAAACTTCCGACTCCGGCTCCTCAGTTTACAAATATCTGACTCCTTCATAAAAGCTCAATATGTATTAATAATGGTAAACCTACTAAAATGGTAAATGGTACCATAAAACATTTTATCACCACCACATGAATCATCAGGCAACTTTTTAGACTTATAACCTATATTTAACTATAATAGTCTATAATATAATATAATAAGTCTAATGGTTATTGCAGGAATTGGTTGAATTGTAGACAGTTTGTATTCTTAAGGTACCGGAGCCAAAGTTACAAAGCATTATTCCCACACCATGTGCTCAACACATCATTTGATCTCCCTAAGCGTGAGGCCACCGCCGGCTCACATGGTAGCAAAAGTGTTAAAATAATGTTTTCTTAAGATTTTATATCAGAGTTGGTACATTTTTACCAACTCAAACTCTGACATCACCTAAAATTGCTTCTGACTCCACAGCCCTGGTACCATGTTTAAAAAAGTCTTCCATTGTACCTTGTCTTTAACCTTTTCAACTCTTTTCACATTTTTACAGTCTGTTTGTCCTAAAGTTTCATTTTTAATGTTAGCTCCTCATCTGTTTGCAAGTCATCCAAATGATCTCTTCCCTTGTTGCTTCCAATCAAAATGCCCTGTGACTTTCCTGTTTTACCCGTAAGTGCTTCATGTCCCACCCAATCTGAGTAGCTGGATTTTCATTTATTTTCCTTTGAGTAACAGTTACGTCATTGTATTACAGCTGCAGGAGAGTGATAGTGAAGAAAAGTCATTATCTCAAGATGATTCCCTGGGTTATAATGATGGTATGTGTGGTAAAAGTTTCAACACATTGAAGAAGGGACTAGGTTGGCCCACAGTCCGCAAGCAATTGGTTACTATTGAGCCCCCTCCTGAGTTTCAAGACAGTCCACCATCACCTGTGGATGACTGCACAAGCCTCTTACTGTTTCGGGAAGCACAGAATTCTACTGAAAACATATTGGCAGATTGTAGTAGTGTTCATTTACTTATACCTTGGCTAGAGAAATTTGCTTCCAAATTAGTATCTGCACTGCTAGAAGAAGCATTATGTATATCATGCAAAGTTACGTGGTCAATCCAGTGCTCTCAGGATTGCCACCCTACAGCCATTCGGCAGGAGCATCAGCAGCAAGAGCAGCAGACAACAGCATCCCGCATCATAGGGCGTTGGAGTGGGCCACGCCTCTGTTGGACTCCTGAATTGCTACCATTTAGCAGTCCTTGTAATCGCCCCAGTTCCCGTAGTTCCCTGGCCTCTTCCCGTCTCTCAAGCTCACACAACTCACTCTCTGTTCCAACTGCAAACAAGGCAGATGATTCTAGCTTCATCACATCAGCAATGTCACATGATGTGCTCACTGCCAGTGAGATCAGTGATATGTACAATGTTCCATTTGATAGTGATATATATGCAGTGCCCATTGATGTTGTGCGACCACCAAGGACACCCCAACGACCCAAGCGACAGCAACGTCACCATCGCAAACGTCGGAGACATGCATCTTCTGGTTCTCAGACAGAACTGGATCATTCAGCTAGGCAACAGGTAAACCTCAGGAGCAAAACTGTCATATCTAGTCAGATCCATACAGTCAAGCTGCCTTTGCATACTGACACAGTAATTGAGTCAGGGGGAGTGAAACGTCATAGTGTACCTGGTACATCAATGGCACGACAGACACGTTCGGCAAGCACAGAGTGCCCATCGGCTGCTGTGGGTGAGCCTATCCATATGACCCTTCATGAGGTGCGTCAATACCTGCAGAACCTGTACTCAAGTTCAAGTGATTCTTCTGACAACAAGAGCAAGATTGACGTAGCCACTCCAAAACACCAGCACAAGACTGCATACAACAACAATAACAACAATAATAATAGAAACAACCACAGGTGCACTGTTGAAGATATGGAAATTTCTTCAAAAAGTATAAGTGGAAGCATTGTAACAAATAGTGCAAGAAAGAACAAGAAGAATACATTTATGATCAACATTAAAAATAAAAAGTCAAAAGATCCTTGTGATGTTGTTGCAGCAAGGGATAAGGACAGTTCTGTAAAATTTGAATTTTCTGGGGACAAAGAGAAAGTTAAGAAGCCTCCCAGTGGTCGCCATAGTTTCTCAGCAAATCTTAAACAGACATTGTGCAACATATTTCGAATCCGGAAACTGTCATCTCCTGATCATCATATTGCAGCAGGAGGGAAGCCTGATATAGCAGGGTGCTGTGAGGGAAATGGGACCATTTCTACTAATGACGGTATCGATGTCCTGCACCCCATCAGTGGCAAAGCGCCATTCCTAAGACGTGCACTGCCTCCTCTTCCTGCCACGGTTAAGCTTCCAGATGCTGACTTGGACTCCAGTCCATTGCCTTCTCCTGAAGAAGGGCCTATGCTTGTTGATGACGAGGAGTTGGGAGAAGAGCCAAGCATGGATTTTGCTTCTAGTATTGAGAAAGTAAAAGATGTAAGTTTATACATTCATGTGGTGTACACAATTTGTATTCAGCTTATCAGCATGTTATAACTTTTAGTAAAATTAAATCACGTTAATTATTAATGTATTGAAAACTTATGGTCTAGTGGGAAGGCATACTTGGTATCAATCTCAGGTTTCAGGCTGGCCACATATTTTGCGGATTTTTTTGAATGCAATTACCTTTCCAAACCTTGGGTATGGTTAAACTAAAACTATGTGGATGTAAGACTGACACTGCTTTTCAGATCCCACATAAGCTGTAGGTTCATTTTGCCATCACTGTGCTGCTATCATACATAATTTTCTACATGGCTCCACATCATCATTAATAAGGCAGATGGTAATGAAGAAGGTTGATCATGTTTCCATTTGACATCATGTAACTACTGCAGTTGAAGAAGTGTGGTAAAATAAACCGTCAACCAAAATAAGGCATTATAGTAAATGGTGTGTAGTGCACAAATACTAGAGCAACATACAGAGCACACCTATTGTCTGAACTGATTTCTATGTCCAGATATTTTTAATACTTTGTTATCAAACATTTTCAATCTTTGTTCATCTCTTGGAATGAGAGGTCGAGTTTTCACATCCTTATAAAGCAAGTAAATCATGTGGTACTATACTTGAAGTAAATACTTGTGAAATAAGCTGCCCTATAGGCAAGTGCATAACCCCCCCTTTTCCAGAATTCAGAATATTGGTCTTTAGTACAAAGACATTTCTCACATATTTTCTTGCTTTCTGCTGCTACACTCTTTATAGAATCATTATTCATATATTTGTTTTATCACTTATGACTATTTTATAACTTTCAGTGCGTTGTAAAGGATTACCAGTAAAAAGATTGCTGTCATCTGGGTTATTGCACCGTGTAGTCTGGTAGATTTATACCAACATTTCAAAGGTCATACTGCCTCCATCATCACCCTGATGACAGAGGCAGTATGACCTCTGAAATGTTGGTATAAATCTACCAGACTACACAGCGCAACAACCCAGAAGACAGCAATCTTCAGACTCACCACTGCGGAAATCTCAAATCCTACATTACCAGTAAAGTTTACATCATATTAAAACAAACATGGCATTTTTGAGTCTGCTCGTAGTGCAGCATGTTACTTCCCATGCTGCATACGTCACAGGGACTTACTTAACTCTTGCATACAGTGTATATGGAATTGACTGAATACACACTCCAGTACCTTATAACAACTATCTGTTATTTCATTACTTTCACCCTCAGTTGGAGCATACAGACCAGTAATAGCACATCAACACATTTGTAGTATTATGTAACACCCTACTTGTATACTTCTTCATACATTCACATTCATTTAAACAGTATATTAATTTACAGTTTATTTAATGACTATATAGTGTTCATTGACTGGGTGGTTAATGAATAATGAATTGGGAAGGATACAGAAGGAAAGAGTCATAATCTAATTGAAGGTACTGCCCCAGGCTATATCTGGAAGAGCAGAGGAAATCAACTTAAAACTTCAGTCAGGACAGTTGGTACCCTGGGCCAAAATTTGAACCTGGTCCTCCAGAATATGAAGCAGGAGTGCTAACCACTTGACCATGATGTGCAGTAAGTAAAGAGTGATGCTGAGTTGTCTGACATGGGGTTCTATCTTAGTGCTGCGTATGTAATGGTTTGAATGTCACAGGTGCTTCCTTTTGTTTCAGTATGGCTGGTACTGGGGTCCTATTTCTGGAGAAGCTGCTGAGAAGATTCTCTCAAATGAACCAGATGGTTCCTTTATTGTTCGAGACAGCAGTGATGACCATTACATTTTCTCATTGACGTTCAAACTGAATGGCTGTATTCGTCACGTTCGGATTGAACATGATCAGGGTCAGTAAAGTTGCGGCTAACTGTAAGGTTAGTTTGTGGAGATTTGAAACAGGAATATTAGGAGCGATTGGCAACCTTTGTCATTGGTAGATGCCAGGATAGTCTAAAACTGTACTTGAAGGCATATCCCACAACACTACATTTTAAATTAACATGTGTTTTCAATTACTTCACTCTTTAGGTTTATCTTTGTAGCATCTGTATAGATCATGGATGGGGAAAATAGGAAATGCTTAACATTTCTGTTGGTAACCCTGAAAGGTAGAAGTAATTTGGGAGATAATATTTATATAAATCTTAAATAAATAGTGTGAAGGTGTGGATTGGATTCATCTGGCTTAGGATATAGTCTAATGGAAAGTTCTTTTATAATACTGGGGGCAGGGAGTTTCTTGACCAGAAGTTTTCGGCTTCTTAAGAACATCTCTTCTTCATGTAGCGTAGTTAATACCTGCAGTTCACATCAGAGCATAACAAATACAAAATGTTAGTTATGGAGATCTACCCTTCAGCCTAGAGGCTTTGAAATTTTGTTTAGACCTTGATGTGGGATCATGTTCTGTTGGGAATTTAATTTTGGAAAATAATAGAAAATCCTAGATGTCCTAAATTGCCACATTCCCTATTTTTTTATCATTTTAGTAAAATTTTAATCTGTGTAATGAATATCTACAGGATATTTATACTACATAATAGAAACCAAATATATTTTTACTATCTATATTAAGAAAAGATTAAATATAAGCAAATGAATTGTAAAATTGCAATTCACACATTAACTTAAAAATGTTCTTGGTATGAATGCCTTAAAACACTTTTCCGCAGTACTAACAAACCCTTCTATAAATTGACTATAAATGCTAGCTGATCCACCTTTCTGCCTCTAATACAAACATTTCACTGTCTGTGAAGTACCTCTGCCGTAATGTTAATGCTGCGGGAGAACTGCAGACAATGAAAACGGAATGTACCAGAAATTATCAACATGTACGAGTCAAATGAATATGATGTATAATCTGTGCGTATGCATTTTGAAATTGTATAAAGAAGTCACATGAGTTGGTAGCACAGTTCAAGTGTTCTATAAATGAACCTCTCAGGACATTTGTAAACTGCCAATCAATCTTTTGTTCATGGTCTCTTCTCTCAGCTGTGTGATTTCATGTTTAAAATATTTTGACAGATGGTAGCATTACATTGGTTTATTCAGTGTGCTATCATAACACACCCCTCCTCCCAAATTGTGTAGGTTATGTTCCTGAAAAACTGTGTTTGACAACATTCCACAGTCTGCAATTTGAGAGTACCACTGATTTGGATGAGTATGCATGGCGAGAGATAGGACTTTCCTGTTGCTTTATACTTTATGCATTGAATGCAGAAGATGCGTAAAAGTAAAAGGTGATTTTACTTGGCTCTCAATGCATATATAATGCAGCACATTCTTATAAAGGGAACTTCTGATTGTTAGAGTATGAAGTTCAAAATGTTGTAGCCATTCAGTCATTGACAATTAGAATATATATTGCAGGTAATTTTAGCTTTGGAAGCTGTACAAAATTCAAGAGCCACACAATTGTAGACTTCATAGAGAATGCAGTGGAGCATTCTCGTAGTGGGCGGTACTTGTTTTTCTTACACCGACGCCCTGTTCTGGGGCCCATGAGAGTGCAGCTCTTGCATCCAGTGTCACGATTCAAGCAGGTGCAGAGCCTCCAACATATGTGCAGGTAACTGAGCTTCTGCTGTGGTTTAGTGTTGTTTGTATTTGTGAAGTTCTTGGCTGCAAGAGAGGACACAGACTTGAGTTTCTATATGTGTGATTTAGTAGGAGCTCTTCAAGTCAGTTACATAACATAGTAAAAGGAAATGGGAATGTAATATTAAAGTGGGTGTTAGAAAGTCAGTTGTGAGGATGTGAACTGGATTGAACTGCTAGTTTTGGAATATGGTTTTGGAAGTATTGATCTTTATGTTAGAGAATTGGTCATTTAATTGGTTATTTAGTTTAATATGGTTGCTTTACCTCCCTGAAAATACAGTGTATAGTTAGTATCTTCATTACTTTATTTCGATTGGTTTTTCTTCTCAAGCAGTACAGTCCCTTGTGGACCTTGGCTTTCACTGTAGTTGTCCTCCATTTTTGAGATTTCATTTATACTGTCTTCTCAACAAATTTTCTTTTGCGGGATTGGGTTGTCAACCCAATTCCTAACCCCCAACCTGGGGGACCAAGGTGTCTCTTTTAGCCTGGAACCTCACTCTTACTTAATCTGTCCAACTTGGGAGACCCTGCCAGTAGCTGTGCTACTACTGGCATAGCTCTTGAGATCATCAGAACTCACAAGCCCCAACGCCACGACAAGGCAGAGACACCACCACACTTTGATTTGTTAGTTACCATACTTTCTGGAATATAAGACACTCTTTTCCCTAGAAAATGCTTCCTAAAATCTGTGCACAGCTTATAGTGATAGGTATAGTCATTTTTTTGTCATCAAACTGTACCTCTAGAATTGGGAGCATTTTATGTTTGAGGGAAATATGGTAAATAAGTGTACCCAGGAACATGAAACCTAATAAATTATGCTAATTATTTATTAAAATCCTCTCAGTCCCTATCATTTGATGCCCTGATGATGGGGACAGAGATGGTCCCTGAAATATCAGCAAGTTTTAACAATTTGACATGGCTGATAACCCAAAGGATTCTATTAATTTGTTTTGCCATTTCAGTACTAACAAAGTTGCACATGATTTCTTACAGGTTTGTGATCTTGAAGTTGGTGCGTCGAGACCTGATCCCATCTCTGCCTTTGCCACGCAGGGTAATTGATTACCTGAGTACACCTCACTACTATTCAGAGCAGCTGGTGGTGGAGGAGGAACTAGTACCTTCTCCTGATGATGTAGATGTGTTTCCCTTTGTGCTACCAGGACTTTCCTGAGATATGCCTCCACTAGGCCAATACCAAGGCACCAGGCAATTGATGTAAAAAAAACACAAAACAGATGGTGTCATGGTGGCACATTGCACCATAACATGTATTATGGTAACAATGTACTATGCAGATCAGGCAGTTTCCATGGTTGTAAGTACAAATATCATTTGTGACGTGGATATTTAAGTTGATAGAGCCTTTGTGTCATCCCTGTTTTGTCATACATGGGTTTGATTCCTAATATAAATGTAGGTTCTCTCTGAAGTAAATGACTCCAGACACATGTTATGATAAGTGTAAAGACAGAAGATATGTATCGTTGGTCATGCACATTTCTGAAATTGCTTTTGTATTTGGATAATAAGAAAGTAAAACATGAAAGATACATTGACCATCCACAGTGCTTTTAGTGACCAAATTCATACTGAATTCCTGCCATGACAGGTTTATAAAAATAATAAAAATAGATATAAACCCTTCACTAACAGTCTTATAGGACAAGTGTTCATTTTTAGAAGATTGTTAGAAAGATGATAGACTTCAGCTCAGTAACCAGTGTTACCTGGAATTTGAAACAGCCCTTGGAAATGCAGCTGGTTGTAAGGAATATGCTATGAAACTAGCCTAAAATCAGCCCACTTTTATTGTTGTGTGGAATATGTAAATTTTCCATATTTATATCCTTTCAAATGTTTCCCCAGATAAATTAATATATATTGAATAATTTATGTTTATGTTTTATTTAACCCTGTGAGCAGTCAATTTCTTCTGCACTTTCTGTCCAAAGGTATTATCTGAAACATTTACAGATGATATTGTACATATTTTAGGTTATATATTAATCTTTTTTTTTAAAAAAATCCATGATCTACTCAGTGGTATCTGACATCTTTCTTTAAACCATGAATGCAGTCCAGTTGTCACACCTGCATAATACTTGTCTATACCACTGTATTTTCAATTTGTCCAACTTTTCTGGTAGTGTTTCTTCTTTCAGATCTTGCATACTTGGTTTAGAATTTTATCTCTTCTTGTTCATTTCCTTATACATGGTAGAAATTTTATCTCTGCTGTTTATAATCTGCTTACATCTCTGTTGTAAAAGAGATAGTTTATGTATTTTGCATAAATATCTATAAGTTGGTTAGACATATCAGTTAACTGTGATTATATGCTTACTGCTCAAAGGGTTAAGAGCATGACAATCTTGCTATTCATTATATGTACAAAATTAAAGGTCACATTTGCATGTTTCCTTTGACATTCTTTGTAAGGCAATTTGCAGTGGCATCTATTATATAATGTGCACTTAATTAATTTACTTAAAATGTGAATTAAAGGAATGTGTATTAGCCAGAACATTCATCCAGAGATAGAAGGCATATCAATGAAGTGTACAGGTGTAGTGCTGTTCTTGTTTATTACACTTGTCAGGATTATTAGTCAGATAATAACCTGCATTATAATTGAAGTTATCTGACAGTTTCCTATTCTCTGTAATTGTTCACAATTGGTTAAACAAGGTGTTTCCATAGAAGTACCTATTTTAAGAATTCATATGCAGGTGCCTGACTAAGCTGAAAGCTCTTACATTGTTAGATGTCTTAAGTCATAAAACATTTTGTAATGGACCTACAGCCATTTCATTTTCAGAGGTCTGTAAGAATGAAGGGAGGGATATAAATTGTTTTAATACCAGTGTTTTTATTGTATCATCTCATTCAAGGTATTATACATTGTAAGTGCCCAAACAGATCACCATTAGTACAGACACATGCATGAGCCTAGCATAGGAGTAAGTCACACACACACACACACACATATGCTCATATGTACCTGCAGCACAATGGACATTGTCCATTGCATCCTGCATGTGATACCATACAGGTGGAATTCTGGCAGATGGAGTTTTTGATACTGCAAAAATGGAAATTGATTAGGTTCAAGTCTGGCAATCATGGGGACCATTCCATATGTACATACATACCTTGAAACTCTAACTAATCCATTGTACAGTCTGAATTGAGTTTGTTTTTCTCTTTGTTTAACCCATTTGCTTATCAATTTGTTACTCTAATGTAAGTTGCAGACCTCTGTGTATGAGTTATGGTTTATTGTAGTTATGTTACAGCATTGCTAAGTAAGCCAAAAACAACTATGAAAGATTTTATGCTTTAAACCTAATAATTTTCTTCATTAGTACCATGTCTAGGATTTCATTTAGGGAATATTTTTTTAAAGTCAGTCAACATTAGCTTATTTTGTTGACATTTTTAGTCCCTTCATTTCCAGATATTTATTTTTCAATGAAATTTTGTTGGAAAACTGTTTCATTTTGTTCAATACTTTTTTGAACTGTTCAGTTTTTATGAAACTCTGTAAAAAAAGCTGTCCCAATATACCCCATCCAGGCACTTTGGGGGGGGGTGGATTTTAGAAGAGGTAGAGCTCCTACTCATTCTTAACCTCAGCACTAGATGGGGGTGAGTGGTCAGCGCCATGCCCCAGCCGTGCTTTACCCCCTGGGAAGGGACCCCTGGTACCCATTTGATAGGAGGTTGGGTGGGCCTCATAGTCACTCTGGATGCAGAGTCTAGAGGAAAAATCCTGTGCTCCCGTCAGGGATCGAACCCCGGTTGCCCAATCCGTAGCCAGTCATTATACCGACTGAACTGTTCTGGTTCCTTATGAAACTCTGTGTGATCATAATGCTATTTGGAGGCCATACCATTTTTATCTTCCTGTTGTTAGTGATACCAACATGATGGTCATGCAAACTTATGTAGTGTGTACAACACTAGCACCTGTCATTGTAGAGTCTTGAAATGTTGTTTATGATAGACCATTAAAAGATATGCATCTTTTATTGACATACATGAAAAATAATATGGTGACTACGTATAATATATTTTGGTGTTAAATTTGATAAATCATTGCAACTTGACAATTGAAATTTGTATAATGACATGTTGTCCCATTTAAGTTCACCATCCCTCATTCTGACACTCAGACCAGTTAATTTAAGTGCCTATTATATACTGTTTATTAATACATGAATTGCAGCAGCAGGCATATAATTTGACCATACTCTACTGTGTTATGGGCAGAAAAGAGTTAAAACCTATTGTATTTAATCCTTCAGGACTAAAAGATGCACCATACCAGCTGCAAGTGCTGTTAATATCATCATAGTGAGTGGTTTACATCCCTTTGGCTGTTTCTCACATCCTAGTCACCTAATATTTTTTGCCCCTTTCTCAGTGTAACAGGTGGCAAGCCTGCTGCCTAGATACAATTTCTACTCAATCCAGAAGAGACATGGGTGAGAAACATGAATTTTGCTTATGAAACATTTCTTTCATGCTTACAAGGTTCTTTTACATGCTGAAAATCTATGACATGGTACTGCCAGCTTTACTTCCCCTCCGAAGGATGTTATGCTACAAAAATTTGTCACCCTTTAAAATCTGTCGACTTTGGCCAGGTTTGAACCTGCAAACCTCGAGTCTAGTGACAAGTATGCCACCACTAGACGAGTGCTTTTAATATTTTTTCTCATAATAGGAAAGTTTACAGAATGGTCAGAAACATTGTGTCATGTTTCACAAATTAACCCATTCCATTCAGATGTCATTGTCGATTAGACACCATATTTCATCCTACTGGGTCCAGTGCCAAGGCAGCCTTAACACATGGACTATATCTTCTGCCAGTCATGTGAACTTTTTGGAATTTGTTCATTAGCAGTTCACATTTACTAATGGAAAGCTTCATACTATCACTTGAAATCACTTTAAACAAACTTGCTTTGGGTCAGAGTTTTTGCAGAATATAATTATCACAAATTTGCCATAATCTGGACTGGGCTACTACAGTATGCCAAAATAAATTTCAAACAATAATGATTTAATAACATGCTTACAACATTGTGGGTGATCTAGAACTTGAACAGAGCAGAGCACTTGAAATGTACGTTAGTGAGATGATGTCAGGTTATTGAGCTTAGTATTTATCATGCTGAAATGCACCATATCGATGTTGGGATCAGGAATAGTTTCATACTGCCAACCTGTATGAAGAGCTTTCATAGGATATAATAATGATGATATTTTATTGCATTTATCACATTTAAACGAAATGTTATGTTTACAAAAGGTGTAACACCTAGTCATTTACTGTTCTTTCTCAGACCAGTGGAGCATATAGTGTATAATTCTTACAGTAGGAATATAGTATAATGCAGTGATTCCCAAACTATTTTTCGTGGATGTTGTTAGTTTCAAAGGGTTCTGACAATATATATTTCTAATGGCAGGTTTTATTGTTAAGGTCAACCTCTCCAGTTAACCACAACCCAGAGAAGGTTGCTTGGGGACAGAATATACGTATGGCCCTGATTATGAAGAGAGATCTCTCACACATGAGACTTCTATTCCATATTGACATAATAGATCACTATGAAATCTTTATTGCATTTAGTTGTGAAAATTTTAGGATTTAAATAATGCAATTTTCTATAAGAATTACACAATCCAAAAGCTGCATGGTGAAGTAAATACTAAAGTAGAATGCTAATGCAGGTGCATGGACAGCCAGTATTTTGAACGTTTTACAGTTTTTACCGAAGTTGAGAGGAATGTTTTAATTTATGTTGTCTGTTATTTAACCCTTTCACTGCCAATGAATGACATTTTTAACAAATTTTTATTTGTATGTAGTCTAAAGTGATTACAAATTAATATAAATATAGCATCTCGCAGTTAGGCGTAGTAATTTTCAAGTATGTGGTATTCCTACTAAAAACAAGTACCATGCAACACATACTTGTGACTGTACACTGCAGTTGTATTTATTTAATGAATGCTATTTGCTGATGAAATCTTCAAACTACTGTTTTAAAGCTTAATCAAAAATATGTCATATATCGCAAGAGACACTACATACTCAGATGCAGAGATGTTCATCATGACTTTCAAAGGGCTGAATGATTAATATTAATATTCAATATAACATTTCTTGGCATGAAATATTTTGAGGCACATCTGCTTCCCTGTGGAGTTCATGTTAAAATCACTCTGTCCTTGCATCTGTACACATGAAAACTGAAGAACAGGTGAACTCATTTTCGTGAAATTTTATATTGAGGTTGTTTTTCTAAATTTTTTTGACATATTCCAATGAGCACTTTACATGAAGGCCTATATACATTTTTGCACTCTGAAATAAATGGGTGTGGAGCCACTAGTCAGGAATTCCTTGTCCATTCACAAAGGTCAAACACAAAATTATTGTGAATGTGCCAGAATTTTTATTTTGTGCATACATTTTTTACTTGTTTAGATACTGGTGTCATCTTTATGAAATGCCTGTACTATACTTCTCACATCCAGTGTTATTGATTCTAATTTTGCACTGAAACATTGGGTTTTCCTTGTTTTATTTCTGGAACAATCCCTTTCAACTCCACAAAAAGTATGTGTGTCCCATTCACAAGCCACAACATACCTTTATGATCATGATCCGTTGTTATGAAAGGTGACACCTGAATATTAACCTACCAAAACATTCAGCTGGCTAACATTATTTGTAATTAAAAATAAAAAACCTGTTCTTGTCACACCCAAGTGACATAATCTGGTGTTAAAATATCTATTGTATCTCTAACTCTTCGCTTCAAAAGGCCTGTGCCATCAGTTTTAATTTTTGACTCCATTTGTTTCCCATATTCCTGGAGATATAAGTTCCTCGTCTGTGGTCCAGGTTTCAGACTTTCACTAACAACACAGATACGCCTTCACATTTTTTAATGCATAATTTTGGAAAGTTCTTTTTTACACTTTCACATGTGAGATCTGGACTTGTTGGAATTTTACATCTTACAATAAATTAAAGGCAAGCCTTGACATAGCTTATCCTTCCTATGCAGAGATTGTTTATGATCACCTAAATGAGCATTTCCCAGGTTCTGAATGGGGCTGAGCATGTATGTCTGCCCACATGATTCAACTAAAGAACCACTGAATGGATTTGGATGAAATATGGTATGGAGGTTATGCCATTGAGGACTACCCTAAAATCACACTTCTCTATTTTCTAATATTGCTAATACCAACATGGCAGAAGAACAAACTTGATGGTGGGATTGGCACTAGTGCCATTTGCAGTAGGATCATACAATGATGTATGCTTATAGACTTTCAGAAAATATAAAAGTTTGTGAGAGTAATTCTTTGTATAATATAAAATAACAACATAGCAGCTGCATGAAAGGAAAACATTGACTTGACCAGGTTTTGATCCCAAGTTCTCATATGTGCGAGTCTAGTATACTACACAGAACCAACATGCCTTGTGATGTACCAATAGTGTAACAGCACTTACAGAAGACATAAAGACTATGATTTGTATAGTTGGAGACTAAAGTTGTGTAAGTAAGATAACAGATACAATCTTTTATCAATAATTCAAATTTTGCAAAGTGTATTCTGATACAGATACCTTTCCAGTCTTGTTTTCCTGCCATTCATGTGATGTTAAATATGTAAATTGATGATACAGATCATTTGAAGCGAGGAGTCAGAAATTCTTGAATCTAAAACTCCATATCTCATTTGTAAAAACTTGAATACCAATGTGACATACAGAGCAATGAACAGGCCACACATTGACCATTACTAGACAACACAGATAAACTTTCACAGTTTATTTTTCTTCTTGTGTTTCTGTCATATTTCTGCATTAAGTGTTATAAAATAGATTATCTTAAAAGCCATACCATAATTTTACAGACACATTCTATATGCAACTTTTAGTTTTGAGGTACGGTTCTGTCAGAAGTTTTTGAAGCCAATAGGACAAGTTTGGGAAACATTTTATAATATAAGATATTTGACTTGTAATATAAATTGACACCCCTTCTTCATGTTGAAACAATATTTCAGTTAACATATCATTGCCTATTTATTTGTTTAACTTACAAATTGTATATCATTTTACTATCAATTTATACTTGATGTATAAGACTGAATATGTATGTTTTGTACTTTGAAAATGTGCCTGAACAAGAATTGAGTGAACACAAATTTCAGAGACATTTTCAGCTTGAAAATACTCATGTTGATGTTGAACCTTTTCTTCATATGTACTATTCTGTCCACCTGTCTAGATTGTACACATTTAATTGATTAATCCTAGCTTTTCTGTATTGTGAATGCTTAAATGGTGTGAAGTACATTATTCCATTGTTTTGTTACAAGAAAGTCTTAATCTAACAACCATGTTCTTTCCAGAGTTTAACTATATTAAAACAAGACAGCCTGTGTTCTGACCACATAGTGAGGCTTGCAGCCATCCAGGCCCTCCTTTTCATCATGAATAATCATCATATCAAGTTACATAACTTCATAAGTTGAAATATCATTATATACTAATCACTAAACAAGTTGATATAATGCTAGTACTCTAAAATTGTATTTGGGAGGTATCTGGTTTGAATGCGGGCCAGGTTACTGACTATCCTGTCTGAGATATTTCCTCCATTTGTCCAGGCATAATGCTGGGATGGTGCCCAGAATAGGCTATGACAACATTTTATATCCTTACATCAGCCCATCAATTAACCAAGTTAGGTAGCTGAGTCTACCACTCAGGTAGTTCAGTCAATAAGTCAGTGCTTGTTATGTGAGCCAGGGTAGCTCAATTAGTGTTATGTCTGGCTACAGGATCGACAAATACGATAAGAAGTGGACTGCATTCAACTGGCTCAGGACAGGATCCTATGGCAAGATTTCATAAATATGCTAATAAACACCCAGGTTCCTTAAAAGCAGGTTATTTTTGTGAAACTTTGTTCTAACAATTACCTCTTCCCATTGCTGCACAAATGTTCTGACAGTGACATCTGGTCATGTAGGTTGCCTACCACATAGGAAGAGTGCAAGAGACAGACTACATACATACATGGATGGGCCAATAAGGTGTTCTTTGTTCAGGCTAGTGTGTGAAGAATATCTATAAATGTAGATCTACCAAATATAGAGGGGAATGCTTATAATGTTTAACAGTGCATGAAGATTGTTGTGTTTACCCAAAAAACTTATATTAATTGGCCCTTTGTCATCAGATACCACATAAACTACCTTTTGTATGATGTGTGAGTATTAAGTTATCTACATAATTGTTTATGGGCAAGAAGGCATCAGCTTGGTGACTTGATATTATGTTTTCAGTCCAGTCTTTTACTAGACCAGCTTTCCTGTTTCTTTTTACTTCCATCAAATTTGCTTTTTAAAATTCCAAGCATCATAAGTAAACCATAATGACAAATTATGTGAGACTGAAATATCAGTATGACATAAATAATTCTGTGAGCCGGTACACAGAAATGCACAAGTAATTTGTACAGGATGGCCCAAAAGTCCCTTTGCGTTTTAAATTATTTTCTTTAAGATGTAGAATAGTCTTTGGAATTTATCATGGAA